GGGGGTGCCCAATGCCACCTCCCGCTCCAGCACCAGCGGCGTCAGGGCTCCCATGGGCCTCACTGTGGAAGCACTGTGACAGCTGCCACATGGAGGGCGAGAGGCTCTGCCAGGCCTGACTGGCTGGCGCGGAGGTGCCACCAAAGGAAGCTGCATGGCCAGGCGAGCGCCGCCGCCACCCAACGGGCTACTCTGAGAACTGGGAAAGGGCATGGGGCAGTGTCGACATTCCGGTGCCGGGAGGCTGAGCCTGGCCTGGACTGCCATCATGGCTGCTCCCGCCCCCCTCCACTGCGATCAACCTCTCCAGGCACTGGAAAGGGAGGCTCGTCCTGGCTGGGGCACTCCGTCCACTCGCCCTGGCCTCACCCTCTGCCATGGCCGGCCCTGCCGCTGCTGCTTCAGCTGCCGTACGCTGCCGGCCAGGGCCCACTGTCTGCCGCCATCTGCTGTGGCTTGGTTGGAGCCGGGCTGGAGAAAGGGGCAGGAAGGGGAAAATCAGGCAGCCGGAACCCCCCCCCCCCGGGCAGGAGAAGAGGAGGAGGAGGAGGGAAGGGAGTTAGGGTCACATCCTCATTACCCCCAGGATTTTCATTTTTACCCCATTTGGGGTAATTTACCCCTGTTCCCTGACCACTGCACTAGAACCTGCTTTTGGGATTATGAGAAATGGGTTTTGCCTCAGGACTGCAGCTGGAGGCTTCTTTTCTAGGAACCGTTAGTGTCACATCCCCATGCAACTCACCAAATGGTACAAAGTTCTTTGCTGCTTACCCTTTCACCTCTCCTTCTAATATGACCACGATGGGAGCTGAGTATAGATGTGTGTGTGTTTGTGTATTTAGTGTATCTCTTTAGGGTTCCATAGAAAATCAGGACAGCTCTGTTTCATGATGGTGATTCTGCAGGACTATAGGGAGTACTGTGCTGATAACAAAGAGCAAATTAAACATGAAGCCCCCTAAGGTACTGCTCGCCTCACAACATGATGTCCTCTGTTTACTCACCCAACATGCGCACTGTTTGCCGGTGGTTCCGGTATGATGTCCCACCAAGATGTGCCCTGCTGACCCGCAGAAGCTGCCTTGCAATCAAGCCATGGAGGACATAGAGGCAGAGGCAGGGCAACACAAAGTAGCTGGTGGTGACCCAGAGCATGGTATCCAACATCCCTGTCTCTCTGGCATAGATGGTGGGGACACATTCACGGGTGAAGTCATCCTTGCCAGCCTGCTGAACTCCCACAAGAAACAGAAAAGGTGCAGCAGAGAACAAGGCAACGGCCCACAAGACCACCAGTAGTGCTTTTACGCGTTGTTCGGTCACCAGCACTTTAGCACGCAGTGGGTAGCAAATAGCAACATAGCGCTCAGCAGTCAGGGCTGTCAGGTGTAGGATGGAGCAGTAGGCACACGCTTCACCTGACCAATGCCATACGCGGCACACCACTGTGCCAAGCACCCATGGCCGTGACTGCCAGAGGCGGTAGAGGTCAAGGGGCAGCCCAAGTAAGAGCAGCAGCAGGTCAGAGACGGCCAAGCTAGCCAGGTAGAGACTAGTTGTGTTGCGTAGTTGCCGGGAGCAGCTGGTCACAACTATAGTCAAAATGTTGCCACCCAGACCAAAGACCAGTAAGGCCAAGCATACCGCTGTCACTGGGATGAGAGCCCACAGGGGTAGCAAAGGGCACAGGTACTGGTTGCATATCTCTGGACCCTCTTCTTGAAACACCTTCGGACTGCTGATGTTGGCCAAGCTCATGTTGTGGTCAGCACTACCAACAACCTCAGCGCTGCTATTGCAGAACATCCAGAACAATTTTAAGCATGACAAATTGTGCGATGTCTTTGTGGGTATCAGAGAGAGGTCCTGCCGTCTCGGTGGCTCTCTTGGCTTCTTTTCTAGCGATCCGTTTTCTGAGTTCTGAGAAAGCCCACGCACAGTCCGCCCTCTCCCTGAGTAGAGAAATGAAGTGTCCGGGTGCAATCTTAAACAGACAGATATTTATAATAACTGCAGAAGGATAACTCCTCCCAAGTAAGCAACACACAGGGCACTGTTGCTTTCATAAGCACTCCGAAACAAGCTTTGTTCATTTACTTCCTGGCAACAGGTGGGGCTGTTAGGAACCACTTAGAGATCTCCCAAAAGCTGCAGAGATGAAGAGGAGATAAAATCCATGCACAGTCAAGGAACCTAAAACAAAGAAAGAGTCAGGGGGCACCTTACAGCTGAAAATATTCATTAGAGCATATGCTTTCATTATCCAGTTTCAACTTCATCAGGCACATTATCCTTGGTTGGTTAATTTATAGATACACAGACGGATATGGGGGCATTGTAAACAGCAGAGCAACATGCAAAAAAAATTATAGAAATGAGATTATCAAAGTGTATATAAGATAAACACAGTGACTGCACATAATAGCAATAACAATGAAGAACACATGCCCTAGCTTTCTTGTGTGCATTCACCTTCATGGTGGTGCAGGATACCATTGTTCTGAGTCAACCCTAAAAGAACAGAATCAAGCTTCTTACGTTTTGGTTTGTCACATTCACATTGGTGTTATCCTTTGCTAATGAATGGCAACTAATGAGTCACTCTGACAGTTGACAGTTGCTGTCTATGCTCAAGTTACAGTCTCCTCTTCTCATATCCAGACTCCTAAACAGCGCTATCTTAGCCATAATGAAGCATTACAAATCCTATGTCTCCAGATAAAAAAAATATAGCAAATCAAATAACCCCCAAAATCTTGACAAGTCAAAAGGCCATAAAATTTAAGCAAACTCACCATATTTCCATTTTATTTTACCATAAGCTTCCAGACAAAATAGTTAGTTCAAGTAATAATAATATTTTCAGCAAATGGGCGCAGTTCAGAATCTTTAGTTATCAATTTAAAAAGATTGCCAACAGCTCCTAGTTTTCCTGAAATTCAGAAATCAGTGATTTGGCAAAGGTCTTATCGCACCTACAGATTCTAATTTTTAGGCTAAGCCCTTTGGTCTCCCCAGGCACCAGCAATGTTGAGAAATACAAAGCATTATAATCATCCCTGTAATAATCTCAAATAATCAAACTTTGAAATTAATTCCATGGGAGCATAGCTCTGCTTCATCAGGTGACAGCAGAAAATGGTAAAGGACTAACAATATTGCAATTTGCAAAAGACAACCAATTTACATAAATGAAAGCTTAATGGAGTAGGGATACATGATTCCTAGTGCTGTGGAATTCTGATGTGCTGAGAATAGCTGACAGTTGGATTCCAAAAGATCTCCTGTATGGAGAATTAGTGCAGGGAAATCGCCCCAGAGGGAGACCGCAGCTGCGATACAAGGACATCTGCAAGCGGGATCTGAAGGCCTTAGGAATGGACCTCAACAGATGGGAAACCCTGACATTGAGCGTTCAGCCTGGAGGCAGGCGGTGCATCACGGCCTCTCCCATTTTGAAGAGACCCTTGTCCACCAGGCCGAGGCAAAGAGGCAGTCCCAAAACCAGCAAAATCAGGAAGCTGGACAGGGTACAGATTGTATTTGTTTTCAGTGTGGAAGGGATTGTCACACTAGTACAGTGGTGCCTCGACTTACGAACTTAATTTGTTCCGGATCTCCGGTCATAACTCTCGTAAATCGAAGCACCATTTCCCATAGGAATGCATTGAAATGCAATTAATCCATTCTGGCCGAAGAAAAAAATCACCAAAAAAACCCAGAAACAAAACAAAACAAAACAAAACCCGCTGCAAGACCCATCGGAAACAGGATTAATCTGTTCCGGCCGAAGGGGCGGGGGGAGAAAGAAAAGCAAACAAACCGTGCAAGACCCTTCAGGAATGCAAAAAAAGCAAAGCAGAAAGCAAACAAACAAACCATTCAAGAAAAAAACCCCCCCCCAAAAAAAAACACAAATACTGCAAGACCCATCACAGCACAGAAACATAACTCCCCAGCCCTACACCAAACTGCAAAACCCACCCAGAACAGGCAGTTTTTTAAAAAGCAGAAAGCAGCACTTTACCTTACCAGGCAGTCCGAAGCCTCCTCCGAACGCACACTCTCTAACTGCTAGGTCGAAAGAGCTGCAAAGAAGCAGCCTCTTCACCACCAACAGTTAGCAATTTGAATTCCCTGTCTTTTTTCCCTGCCCTTTTCTGGTTGTAACTCAAAGCTCCGGTCGCAAGTAGAAGCAAAATTTTTCGGCCGGAGCTGCTTGTAACTCGAAAAGGTCATATGTTGGGACGTTCGTAAGTCGAGGCACCACTGTATTGGCCTTCTCAGCCACACTAGACGCTGTTCCAAGACATCTATTCAGATCACGTTACCATAGTCTCTTGAGACTGAAGGATGCCTACAGGAATTCTACATCAGTTTAGAAAGCTGTTGTAGCGAGCACGCTGAAGCCTCTACCAACTCAGGCCTCCAGGAGTGCTCACTGTTCTTCTCAGGTAGCTGCCACCAGGTATTGCTGTTTCAATACCAATAAATCACTGAATCATGTGTTTCTTCAAAACTTAAACTTGTTTATTGGTTTAACAAAATAAAGTAAGTAAATCACAAAATGTTAATCAAGTCTCTCACTCACTGACACACACAGACTCTTCCCTCACTGACTATTTGGCTCACAGGCCCATAGACACACTCCTCACTCACTCTCCCAAAATCTCTCTCTCCAATCTTCCTTCTCTCTCATCATACACCCCTATATATATTCCAGCTCCTCCCCCTTCTGCACCACCTTCCATCCCCTCATTGGCTGATGTTCCACTGCCCAGCTGTGACGGACAGGTGAGGGCAGGGCTGAATGCTACAGCTGTCCACAATCGAATGAAAGGCCTGGTTCTCTCATGTGAAATAATCTAGGATGGCCAGCATCCCGGACATTTCTATACTGCAGGGACAGGGAACTTTGGGCTTTTTAGATGTTTTTGTTGACAACTTCTGCAGATTCCTACTCTCAGCCATGGTGGGTAGTGTAGACAGCAACTGTAGGCAAAAACATCTGGTGGGTCAGAGGTTCCCTACATCTGGTGAATTATCTCATGGTCAGTCATATGGAGAGAGAGGGGCCTTAACATGCCTTAAATTCAATAACACTGATTAAGAAATATTAGTAGAAGCTGCTCTTCCTCTCTTACTGCTTGTTTCTTGAAATTTGATCACAACTTCCTGAAATCTAAAAGGAAAGTGTCCTTAAATCAGATTTGGGTGGGCAACCTTTGGCGTCTCAAGTATTGTTAGACTACAAGTCTCATCAGCCTTCACTATTGTCCAGGGCAGAGGAGAGCTTTAATCCAATAATATCTGGAATACTGCATGTTGGCCACCATTGCTTTAAAAATCCAGATGAACATTGAACTAAATATTCTTACCATAGCTAATATCTTTCCTTTTCAGAAAAAAGCCACAAAATTTGGGAAGTTGGCTCTTCTTTTCTTTTCTTTTCTTATTATTATTTTGGACCATAGCTTCCAGAATTCATTAGCCCATAATGGCCACCAGGATTCTCAGTCCAGAAAAGTAACTTTCTCAAGATCCAAACAGGAAGGGAAGATTTATATATATATCTTTAAGTTAATTTTGAAAAAGTCCCCAGGAAACAAGGATCAGACAGAAAATGAATCCTAGGAACATGAAAACATGTCTTATTAATAAGAAATATTAAAACATCTTTGGGAAGTGAGATCCATATGGTTATTACACAAATTCATTTCTTAGGCATATTTGTGTGGATTATCTGAGCTAAAGTATTTTAAATACTATTAGTGCAATGTATCTTAATGCATCGTGTCTTAATAATAACATTGTAGTTCAATGATGGGAAAATAATATTGAGTACTACCTGTGGGAAGGAAACTGTAATTCAATAATACATGTTAACAAAATAATACTTTTTTTATTACATCCAGTGAGGTCATATTTAAGTTTTATAATTTTGATAAAGACTGCACCACAAATGAGTTGGCTGAATCTGTCAAAAATTTTCAACCCTGTGCACAGGAACCAGCATCTCACCAAAGCCTCAAGTTTGCAGCGTACAGTAGGAAGGGGAGATGGGGGGGGACACTGTTGACCAGGGAGTCCGAGAAATCACCACAGCAGCTTCATAGGCTTGGTATGGTTTCTAGGCAATTAGCATAATCAGCTGCAGTTGACTGGAGGCAGAGCTTGAGGTGGAGACTGAGAAGATGTCATCTTCACCCTACAAGTCCACCTCTAATGCTTATACACACCGCTCCCTGTCTCTGTCTCCAGTCCTTTTTGAGGCATCAGGGTAGAAGGTGCCATGAACAAGGCCATCACTGGCAGCAGAAGATGAAACAAGAGGGAGAAAAAAAGAATCAGAAGAAAGAAGATGGCACAGACAGGAAGTTGTGGGTATAAGAGTCAACCTGGCCAAGGATGGAGGTTATAGGTAGTAACAAAGGAGCTGCTGGAACACAGTGCTAAACATTCCTTGGCAGGAGGGCATAAGGAGCTGGAGAAGGCCGCTGCTATACACCATAAACTATGGTTGCCAGTCCATAATCCCAAATGGCTACCATCAGTAGAGAGAAAGATTTGAGAATTATTTTTAACTCAAAGAAATGTTGATAAAAGCTGCAGTCAGGATCAGTTAAGAGTTAATAAGGAAGGGTGATTTTCCCCCCTATTTAGCCCAGTTGGTTTTTGTATATGAATTTTCCCAAGAATGGAAAAAGTACTTTTTGGACAACAATTCCCTGAATACCCCACAGGCCAGGCTATCCAGAGTGTCCTGGGAATTGTAGTCCAAATATTACTTTTCCCATCTCTGAAATGATATCATTTCATATTCCTTATTGGTATGTCCCTGGTTGGGAGAATTAGTATCTATGTCTTGGCACCCTACTAACGCAACAAAAAGCCGATAGAAGGGACTAATTTTGATGCAGACAAATCTTTATGACCACTGTCAAGCTTTAATCCAGATTGCTTAGAGGTTTAGGAGAAGGAAGGAGAAAACTTCTTCAGGGGCTTCGTGTTTTTGGTACAGGTAGGCTTGCTCCATTTTGATTCATTTCCAGCACATGCTATTGCTCAAAATGAAACAAAGCAGAGCCAGTGGCTTAAATTAGCCTTCCTCTTTCAATTTCCCACATTGTTAAGTAGCTTAAGAAGACAGCCACATTATAATATTGGGAAATTAAAGACTTCCTTTGCTCAATTGAACTGCAGTAGACTGGAG